AGTACAGCTCCTCCCAAAGGTGGGGGAGAGAGGGCAAAGGCAAAAAAAAAAAAAATAATAATAATAACAAAAATCTAAAACAAAATAAACAAAAAGAAAGATAAAGTACAGCTCCTCCAATTTGTCTCATAAATAAATTTTGGGGTTGATGAGGTCCAGAAATGTGCTGGCCTTTTCTCCCAGTGTTTTTGATATCCTATTTGTAGGCCCCTGGAATTTATCAGTAGAAGGGTGTCTCTCAGTGGGTGGAATGAGAGTGATTTTTCTTCCCCAGGGGACATTTGATAATGTCTCGAGACATTTTTGGTCATGGCTGCTGGGGGAAGGATTTGCTATTGGCATCTAGGAATTGGAGGATAAGGACGCTACTTAATATTGTAAAATTCACAGGACAGCCCCTTATGACAAAGATTTTTCATATCAAAATATCAGGAATGCTGCGGCTGAGACCTTGTTGTAGAGGATTAGCATTCAACTGTAAAATACCGCATATGCTATGACTTGCCAAGGGTCTCACTTTATGTGGCAAGGATTCCCTGAGCAATGCCAATCTTTACTTCTTACAAGGCCTCTCCTCTGAGAATAGGAAGAGATAAGCCTTTCAGGGACTGTGTTTTCTCACCCTCAAAGTCTAACATAGAAAAGAGTAAATGGCACTGTGGTTCTTCCTTCATCAATGCTCCTCCTTAACTCAGTATTTTTCTGTAGTCATATCAGGTTATCATGTAAGCCAGGAGACTTTTGAAAGTAGAGATCATCTCAAAAGATGTTCCTGAAAGCTGGCGGATGTATGCAGAAGGAGGAAGGATGCTCCTCCTCCTCACTTAACCTTGAAAAAGGCATAGGGAGGCACAGTGGTAGTAGCTTTACTGTGTCTGCGAATCATATCCCTAAGAGGATATCAGCTTTCTTAACCCTTCTACCCTTCATGCCAGCTCCTCCAGGTCTTTTCTTAGCCCAAGCTTGGGTCCTGGGTGGACTGAGCTAATTTAGCAGGCTTTTTTCGGGGAACGGTAGAATGAAAGAGATGAGGAGAGAAATACACTCAACACAAATAGATGGGTTTAGGGAAGTAAATTTAGTATTCCTGCACCCCCCTGATAGAACAAGTGCTGTCTGTAATCATGTATAGATATAATCTCCACTGACCAGTGGCCAGAGCTGTTTCTTCATCAGGCTCTATGATTACATAGATGTACACCATGATCCTGAAACATTAGTTTTAAACAAGCTTTCAGTAAGAAGTATTTTGGAGAGCATGAGAATAGAATTAGAAAATGCTACAATTTCTCGGTAAATGCTATATACCATTTAATTCGGTGTCCATACCAAATCTACCACAGACTATGTTTATCTACGAGTATACTAGTATTAAGGAGACTTGACCAGCTTCATTGGCCAAAGCTTTTGATGTTTCTTTATTGACTGCAAATTCCTAGAGGAACTCTAGACTGCCCTTCCTCTCATGCTCTCACCTCCCTGTGGCCCTGCAAGACCACCTTACATTTTGATCCATTCATTTGGAGGCTTCATTTGAAGCTTTTCTCTCATGCCCTAGGGCACCTCATGGCTCCTAGGAGTGGATTTTTGCCACTTAAGAAACCTCTCCCAGTGATCAGGCAGCATGTGGAGTTTCTTTTTGCTTTTGGAATAGTGGTGGCTTTTATCTACAAGATTATTCTCCCACTTGAAGCAGTGTGCCCTGCAGCCAACAGATGTTTGCATCCAGATCTCCCCTCTAGATGAATAAAATCTTTCCAGAGGCTAACACTGGCTGGAAAGAATTATTTTGTGCACCTATGAAGCATAACTGAGCCCTAAGCTATCACCTTTGATGCATATTTTGTGACTGGGGAAGAAAATAAAAACAAAAAGTTTTTTCTGCCAAACGTTTCTTGCAGATGAGAATTTTTGTTGACAGAAAGCTTTATCCAATGGGAGCTTTGCCCTCTCTGATTCAACAAAGGGTTAGATGGAGATAGTTTCTCTTTATATTGCTCTTCAGTTTTGTTCCCTGTGCTGTATAGTTATCACACTGCATCAGAAAAATGGGTCTGATAACTGTCTTCCAAATATCCATCTTGTATGGTTTGCTGAGTAACAATTTTCATCCAAGCATAAAATACTTTTTTTAAAGAGTCAACCTTCAAAAGGTGGAAGTGTGAGTCCATGGGCATGCGAAAACTGAAACAAGCATACTTGGTTTTGGAGGACGTTAGTTTTGCCTCCGTACCTTGGATACCCATCTTTTATAAGATCTAAGATCGATGTACCTTAAGGTAGCAACATTTGTCATAATCACCTAATGCATTAGTGTCTTTCAATACCAAATATTAGCATTGACTATGAGATCACTAAACCATATCATAATTTTGAACAAGGACTAATGACTTGACTTTTGAGGACCAGTGAAACTAATAGCAAACTTTTGAGACAATGACACACTCTTACACACAAAGCTTGGAATCTAATGAAATGCTTCTCGAGTCATATTTATTAAAATAGAATAACTTGATTTCTATATTTAATGATGAATACTAATTTAGGCATAAGAAACAAACCACAAGACACAGTGAGAGAAGTCTGGTTTTAACCATTCATCTCCAAAGTGGGCATAAGCCTAATTTATATTCTATATTCCCCATGTCAGGAGGGGAAAAAGCCTAAGGAATGTTACCTTCAGTAAAAGAAAAAAAAATAAAAATAACGTTTTCATTCCTACAGAGAAAGACTTATACCTCAAGTCTTTGGAGAGCAATGAGAACCAGAATATTTTATTTTATTCTTTTTTTTTTCCTATTTTTTTTTGTTTGAGCTCTTTGCAAATCCAGACCACACTATTGATTACTAGCTATTCATTGCTGAAGGCAGTACTCTGTATTCAATAAATTAAGCTTTAATTCCTGAGCCTAACAAAATAATTAACCTCAAAAAGAAGATAAATGAGTATGCTGTCCTGAACTCATGATTAGAATCCACTTTCTAGTCTCGTTATGTTAGTATTTTTCAGTTCAGTGTTTTTTTCCCCATTCTCTTCTACTTTATTTTCACAGCCTATAATACCTTTTACCCTGCTCCTCTACCCACAAGGTCAAGCTATTCTTATTCTTGGTTTCAGGAATAAAATGTTTTAATACTGTAATCTTATACTCTGGTATTAATATTAATAATTTAATATAGTTTATATTTTAGAGCAAACAAGATGATTAGTATTTCTGAAAAAATTATGAAATGCTCCTGATGTCATAAAATCAAAAATAACATGAACATATAGAAAGCAGATATAAATATTTTAATCAATTGATTCTTTGATGATTTTGAAATGCTTCACTACTGATCTGCTTCACTACTGTTTCCTTACTGAATCCTTGACCATTAGGGAGGCTTAATATTATTTAGCCTGATTTTACATTTGGGGAACATTAATATAAGAAATATTTGGTGCCTTGGACAAGATCACTTAGATAATCCCTTTATAAGCCAGGACTTAGATAACCCCTTAGTTTTTGTTGTCAGTGTACCAATAGTAAGAGGATGAACATATGAACAGAGCCCTTTTTTAGCTTTGGTGCTCTGGTTTCATTTCATAGCAAATATAAAATAATCCTCATTATTATGGACACCACATCAAGGCAGTGGTTCAATATTATATTATTCAGAACTGAAGCAGCTAAATCAAATCTTCTTCAGGCAACTTCAATACAGCAGAAATGAGGTGTAGCTTCCATGGAATCCTTGGACAGTTCAGAGCTTTTTCCCGTCTGTGTCTCAGGATCCCGTCTTCCCTGCTCCCCAGGGCCTCAGAAAGAAGAGTGTTTTTTTGTTTGTTTGTTTCTGAATTTCTACTTACATTTCTTGAGGTGTCTGGAACTTGATTCATCCTTTTATTAGTTGAAAGGGGACATAGCTTCAGAGAATAAAAGGGAACTATGAGAGGCAAAAGAAAGATCACTCTCTTGTTGGGAACTTGGATTTATAAACTCAGAAGCATTTTCTTTCCTTAGCCTTTTCTCCATCCCAAATCCATTCTCCATAAAGGATAAAACTTGATCTTACTCTACTCAGGCTTATTTGTGCATGTGGACAGTTGTTCTACACACATGAACTATTTCTTGAAAGAGCCTAACATGAGGACCAATGAGGCTGATAGTACCCAGTGACAGTAATTTCTGATTGATTGATTGATTGATTGATTGATTGATTTACATCCTATAAGTGATCCCAGTAACACTCAAGTGCTGTTGCAGGATAGAAGAGTTCATTTCTTGGTACTATATGCTTTTTCATTTAGAACCTCTTAATCAGAAAGCCCAATTGCTTATATTTTACTCAAGTGCTTTAAAATGATAGTTTATGTTTATATGATAAGGCAAGGTACTTTATAACTTTTGATTCATTATGGCAAACTAAATTATGTTCTCTATACCTTTGGTATTAAGTGAATCTAATTGCATTATGAATCTCACAACACTGATAATTGATTGCTATATATAGCAACGACAAAAAGTCTAAAATATTACAGTAATTTGGATATTGTACTTATGGGCTATTCCAAATAAAAGCAATTTAATTTAGTGTTAGAACAGATTTGTAAATAGGATGCAGTAAATGTTTTTATTAGGATGCATGTGCTATTATGTTAATGGCAACATATTTTGTTTTTACTTTATATCAAACTGTGGGATTTTCTAAAATTTAACAATAAATGAAAAGAGAATTGAGGAATTTAGGAGGAATAATAAATGGTAATCTCCTAATAATGATGGATGTCCTTTCAAATAGAAATCACGTGTTCCTCTGTTTTCTTTGACTCAGAGGTTATCAATGTAAGGCAACTTTCATTTAAATATTGTTATCATCAGTTTATTGATACCTTAATCACAGAATACATATTTTTCTATGAAAATGACCATTAGAAGCAGTTATTTTTAAGGTATGTAGATGCCCAGGGCTTTCTAGATCTTATTAATTTATGACTACTTTTCTTGTTTTATTTGCAGAATTTTTCCGAGAGCTCCTGGAGAATGCAGAAAAGTCACTCAATGATATGTTTGTACGGACCTATGGGATGCTGTACATGCAGAATTCAGAGGTGTTCCAGGATCTCTTCACAGAGCTGAAAAGATACTATACTGGGGGCAACGTGAATTTGGAGGAAATGCTCAATGACTTCTGGGCTCGGCTCCTGGAGCGGATGTTTCAGCTGATAAACCCGCAGTATCACTTTAGCGAGGACTACCTGGAATGTGTGAGTAAATACACAGACCAACTGAAGCCATTTGGAGATGTACCCCGGAAACTGAAAATTCAGGTCACCCGCGCCTTCATTGCCGCCAGGACATTTGTCCAAGGGCTGACCGTAGGCAGAGAAGTTGCAAACCGAGTTTCCAAGGTAATTGAAAATCTGCTATCTTTCTAATTGGACTTCCACTTTTACTCTGTTTTTAAAACAAATGTTTTTGGTGTTTTTTTTTAAAATTCAAGGTTAAAATTTCAACTTACAATGGTCCTTGCTCTGAGAGAAGTAAGCTAAATGTCAACACTTAATTCTGATTTTTTTTTTCTTTGTGTGAGAGAAGACAGGATTTCAAGTTGGTCCATGTGATTTGGAACATAATGTCAATATTTATCGGCAGTACAGCAGAAAAGCTTTTATTGCGAGTGGTTCGAAAACAGGCGTCTTGTAACCGTGACCACTTGGCAAGTTTTAAGGAGGATAAATACTCATGAAAAAGTCCATCCAGAGGTTATAATTCTCTAGTAAGACACATGGTGACAGTCTTCATGAGGCCTGCAAGTGGAGACAAATTGTTGTTCAGAGCACCAGCACCTGCCATTTCTTCTTTTTTATTACCCTTGTCAAAGTGGCCAAATTCCTTAATTGTGAAGGAGAACCTTCTGCTGGCACTTGTAGAAGAGAATTAGAGAGGACTAATGAATACAAGGTATAAATCCTGGCAGAGAATTCCCTTTATTATCCATCAGCTTTGTTATTCTATACCACATTAGTGTGTTGTTTATGAGAAAGATAAATAATTAGTACATATGTGTACCTTTCTTTGAAGATGTCTCTAAACCTTTAATTTAAGGTGTATTTCTCCACTGCTGTCTTTAAACATTGATTATTTCCTGTGTAGAGTGTATCTGCCTTTGTCAAAATTCTCCCTTGATACTCAGCTGTTCTTATGAGATGAGCTTGCCATTTATGAGGTCCGTCCAACAAATAAACTTACAGATAATTATTTTAAGAGGTAAAGTAAAAACAATATGGAACAGGAATCTGGCATTATGTCACACAAAGAAGTTCATATTTTTAGAAAGATTATTGCCAAACACAACTTTCTCTGGTTGTGCCAAAGAGCCACAGATTTTTCATAACTATTGATACTATCCTGCCATGTTTTGCTTTTGGTTTTTTTTTTCACATTGAGCTCCTTAATAGTTACATGTGGCATACAGTTCATGTATACTGCTAAAAATGTTTCTCTATGGCACTATTTTTAAAATTCATAACAATCCACTTTTTAATGATCAGCTCCTAAAACATTTTTTTGGCATATGGAAATATCATTTGCAAGAAAGTTCTAAAGGGGATTTAATAATATAAATGGCTTATAGCTCTCATTATAAGAACAGCGTTTTGTTGTTGTTGTTGTTTTAATCAAAACTCAACAATGTTCTAGACTAAAGCATAGAACCCTAAAAGTGTTTGATAAGGAATTGTCCAGGTTGGCTAACAAGAGGAAATATGATCACCTGAGAAAGTCTGTAAAGTACAGATTAGTATAAAAAATAAATATATAGTCCATATGTTCTTCAGCAAATAGATTTTGTTTTAAAATATTTAGTCACAGAGGTGTTGAATTGAAGCATTTGTTTTGGTTGAAGAATGAAACGTACGGCTAGCTTTGAGAAACATGATGTAAGAAATTCAAACCATGGATTGGTATATGCAGCAAGCATCCTGATTGTTTATATTGATTCTGCCTGAGTGTGAATAATGTTTAATGTTGGCGTATATTTTGGTCTAGGGCAGTTCCAGTGAGATGAGAGAATGTTTTCTAGCAAAACCTCTAAAAAGCCACAGGGTAGGTTGCCCCTGACTCTCTCCTTTTTCTCAGAAGACGGCATAAACTCCTGCCTGGCCATGCACCTCCCCTTTTCCGCCATTCCCTGAACGTCTCAGTCGGAGGTCTTTGTCTACCAAAATCTAACATACTACTCTTCATGGGAAAGGTTGATATCATGGACCAAACATGATGAGTATGTGGAGTATGATCTTTAATTTCTTTCCAGATATGGTGAGGGGTATTATCTGAAACACTGAGATCATGTTTGCCCTGATTGCTTCATAACCAACATTCATTTGCAGAGCAGCTGCTGTGGGTTTGCAATGTAGTTTGTGGTAATGTAACCATGGAATGTTCACTGTTCAATGCAGATATTGGCTTGTCTGACTTGAGTTTGACTAGCACTAATCTATTCAAATCATAAATCCCATGCTGACACATGGGCACCACCATCTGGTAATCTGGTACATAGATAGATAGATAGATAGACAGATAGATAGATAGATATATAGATAGATAGTAGATAGATGTGGTTTAAAGAAAACTGAACAGTTTTTTCTCAAGTAATTATCATCAGGGTTTTTAATATTTACCAACAAACTTTCTCACCTTATGACTACCAAATGGTCTGTAGCTTAACTAAACCAGAAATAGATTTCCTAGGGCTATTTGGGTACTAATGATGTCAGCACCCAAACAATTCTTTTAAATAAGAATAGACTATTACAATGACTAAATGTATAAATAAGAGAAGCAGGAATGGTATTTGAGGTTTAAGCCCTTCATAAATCTACTATCCCTGTGGTCTGTTAATTGAGTGATTTAGGGTTGGCAGAATGATTGCAGAAGAATTCAGGAATGCAAGGCAAAATTCTCAAATGAAGATCAACAAACTGACGTAGCTCCTGCATTCCTGGTTTGGGGGATATATTTTTTTACTTCAGTTTCTCTCTTCTCTTTCAGTGGCTTCTTAAATCTGGGGATGTATCATTAATAGCTTCTAATTAATTGTTTTGAGTAGAAAATGTATCTGTTTCGCAAAACACAGCAGTTAGACACAAATGTTTTGACACAACATTATAAGGAATTCTCTTACCAGAAAAGTGGAGAACTAATTTGTAGGCATGAACACAATTATTTTTTAAGCTTATTCTTGCCATCTCATATATATACAAACACTGGCTTTTTGTAAGCTCTGAATGGATTGAGTTAATTTTAAGTAACTGTAACTGGAAATCTGGTTCTTAGAAGTGTTAATGAGATTCTGGAGTGAATATCTGGTAATTTAGCCAGGATTCATTTCCTGTGTGAATGACTGTTTTTGACTGTGTCCAGTGTTGACAAGAGATGGTAAATCAGTAAGTCCTATTTTGCCAGTGGAAGTGTAAATTGATGTGTTCACTTTGGATAACGATTCAAAAATATCTGTATTATTAAAGAAGCGCATATCCTAAAACTGAAATTCTATAACTGAAGAAACTATTTCACATGTATACAGATAAACATGCAGAGGAACGTTAAAGGTAAAATTATCATAAATGCCCCATCTGCATGAATGGTGATCCCTTTACACCATGAAATACTATAGAACATTGAAAATAAGTGAACTATAGCCACACTCATGGATGAATCACAGAAACCTCATTTGGAGAGAGAAAAATCAAATCACCAAATAATACATACTGTTTA